TGCGCAGGTGCATTCCCACGAAGCGGGCTTCGACTGTCGGAAGCGTAGACGGGTTGAATGGATTCTGGGCCAGCTGCCTCTCAAAGTTCCTGGCTGGGGAGTGGAGTGAGGTTTGGGGATGTTCTCTGAGCGTGACTTCTCCCTCTCCCGAGGTCTTCGTCTCTGTGTGGAAACCGACATTCATTCTACCAAGGATTTAGAGTTTCCCAGCATAGACCCAGTTGTACAATATTTAGGATGGAGGGCACAGTGGGATGGGGAGAGAGTTGACTCCAAAGTCCAGTCAAGATGTTGTCTAGAGCAGTTGTTCTCAAATACTGGTTCACAGACCTGGTCTGGTTCTGATGAAGTTTTCCTCTCTGATGTAAAACAAAAGAAATAAGGACAGCACAGTGAGGTTGTGTGTGTGTGTTTGTCTATAAAGCTAAATTTATCCATTATGATGGATACACTTGCATTCTCAGATTATATTTGTCTTATAATTTTGGTGTTAAAATGTTCTCTGTCATAAAGAGATGTTAAAGATATGTGGTCGTTGTTTTGGAATCTTCACTAGCTGAATAAAAATTTGGACAGTCTAAGGGCATGATTCCCAATGTTTTGGGGAAAATTTGACTGGCTCATGCAATACAAGTGCATGGGAACCCATGAAGCAGAAGGTGAAGAAGCACAGGGCAGCATGAGAAGAGCCCTGGGTGGGGAGACACCCCTTAGTCTTACGAGACTCTTCCTTTCGTGGGGCCCTTGTCCTCAGCTCTGCTCTGAGAGACTGGGACCAGATGACCAGCAGTTCCTTCCAGCTGTAGCATTATCTGAGAGCTCTGGCTGCATAATTACTAAATAACAGTGAGGATTTGGATTACAGACCCAATGGGCCTCCCTTATCTGATTCATGGAGAAGCACAAAGCAGACAATTTAAGGAAACCTGAAGCAGAATAACCACCAAAGCAACCCAACAGCTGCTAAATAGACACTGAGACAAGCCCATCATAAAATGTACTATGGTATGTCATAATTGTTGGGATACCAATCAGAAAGTTCTATATTAAGTACCATTGACTTAGTCACATTGTGTTTGCAAAACAAGCAGTGAACATCTGCTTATTAAAAAAAAAAATTCCTCCTTCATTCTTTCCTTTATCTTTCGTCCTTTAACAAATTCCTGAAGATACATTTTTCTTGGTCCATCAAGCCCACAGTGTCATTTTGGAAAGGAAGCCTATGAATTATTTTCTTAATGCATTAAAAAATGTGGTAAAGTGATTTGCCAGTTTGGCATAGAACCTCAGTCCCTGCCTTGAATATAATAGGCATTTAATAAATATTTGATTGATAAATAAATTTTAACAAAAAAGTACTTGCATTCTGATTTTTTATCACATTATAAACATATCTAGCAACTATTCTCCTTTTTTAAAAAAAGCCAAATTTTCCAAGGGGGTGTCTTGCATAGCTACTGTACAATTTACTTTGTGCTTCTGGAATTGTCAAAACAAACTTAACTGCTCTTAGGAACTCCGATCTGATATCACTGTCAAAATGTTTTACAACGATTTGGCCAAATGTTTGTGGAACAGCTGTGCTACTAGTCTGCCTAAGTCATTTTCCTTCTTTCTTTTTGGCCCAATCCTGTGATTCATCATTCTGCTTTTAGAATATTTGCCTATTTTTAAAACCAGTCAAAGAAGGCAGCCACTGTTTAAAAGTAAACACACCACACATCAACTTGGAGCAGCTTTGTAAGCAGCTTTGCAAGCCCTGAAATTTCTGGCTGGCAGGGATGCCAGCTAAACCAGATGGCATCAAGCAGTGAAATACCAGACTGGCTTTCAAACTCAGTCATCTCCTTACATCTGTCTTTGGTTTTCTTGTTTTCAATGCCATTTCCTGCTTGGATTAAATCAACTTTAACAAAACTCTTGCTATTATTTTGCCTTTCTAAAATATTTATTATATGTTTATTTCTATGTCAATCAATTAGACTTTTATTTTTTCCAACTCGAGGAATCTAATCTTAAGCCTTTACTTATCTGCAAAATTATCGGCTTGGTCCCATATATATGCCTTTACATGGTGTGACTATCAATAATGACAGATTTTTATAATGGGCTTTATTAATTCTGGGTCATACCAGATATTTGCTATTTACTATAGTAATGCAAATGAATAACTCTTTTCCTTTTTATTTTAAATTTTTTATAATTAAGCAGGAAGGAGCGTGACTTCATGGGGAACAAGGTGGATTAAGTCCCAGGAAGACTTGAGTTCCATTCCTGGCTGTCTTTTAGAATTCTAGAATGTACTATCTGCTCTGTACTTTGTAGAAGTGGTTTCTCCTTCTAAAAAGTGGCTGCTCATCTGTGACTATTAAGGTTGGGGTGCCAAAGTATAATATGTTCCCATTTACCCGTACCAAGTTGTTCCAGCCTTGAACTCAATGAGTGGAAATAATCATGATGTTTGGGTTATTGATATTTTATTGAAGTAAATTGAAATGCACCTTAGACCAAAGTCCATTTTATATACAAACTATAGGTTTTATAATAAAGGCTATCTCCAAAGGGTCAGTAGAAACAAATGATTATTTCTGTCTTTTTAAAAAAATTTTTCTGTTTTTTTGGTGCAATTCTTTGCAAATGATGGGGTGGATTGAAAAAGCCACAGTATTTGGCAGAAGTTGTCACCTCCGAGTAGAAGAAAGCATTCCAAGGGCCAAGGGATTGACTCTCCTTGTTTCCTTGTGAGATGGCACTCCAACCTGCAGCGAGAGTCTTGGGAAGATTTCCCTGTTTCTACTTGCTCTCTGCAGCTACATAGCGTCGGTGAACCTGGGGGTATCCATTGTCTGGCAGGTACAGGAACAAATGGATTCACAGTTGGTGCCCCATTGCCATTGTCTGAAGCCACTCAAGTGGCAATATTATTACACTACTCTTGACTAAATTATAGCAGAGGCCCTTAAGGTGTTTGGAAGAGGTGAATACTGTCCTTGTTTGAATGATATTTCTGGTGATTATCTTTGGTGCCTTCGAAGAAACGTAGTCTCTTAGAAGCCAGGAGCTCCTCGTGTGCTGTGTTTTGTTATGGATAGTACTGTCAGTGAGTAGGGAGAGGATGCTTGCTCCTGCGTTGTGTATGGCCCGTATTACTTCTTCTCGTTCAAAGAGAACTTCAACAGTTTTCATAAATAAATCTGTTTATGGGAGTGAGGACATAAAAAGCATGATCTTTCTTTCTTATAATTTAAAATAGATTTGGTATTGAAATTATTCATGTAGTCTGTACTTCATCATAGTCTCATAGTCATACCTGTGGTACCTGTGGTTGTCAACAAGGAGAGGATTGGAAATCTATGGCCAGTGGACCCACAGAGCCAGATACAGAGGTTCTGCTGACAACCCTCTAGTACCAGAGCTAGGTCAGCAGTATGTTCTTTTTTTTTTTTTAAACTTCCAAGGACAGTCTTTATTAGTGCTAAAATTACTTAGTTAAACTCCAACTTGAACTGCTACACTTTTATCTTTATCTGTAGAAAATAATGGAATAAACACCAATAGCTACTCACTGCTCTAGATCCCATAACTCTTTAAACTTCCTAGTGAGGGTCAAAATGCTCTACTTCAAGATCATATTATTCTTGAGAAGCACTTTATTCTGACTGTATGCACAGCTTTTCTTCCTTTTCTTTTTTTTTCATTGCAGCATTATTTATTATTACAAAAAATTGGAACTCAATATTCACCAATAGGAAAATGGACAAATACATCCAAATAATAAATGAATGAGTGAATACTGTATATCAGTTAAATGAACAAACTAAAACTAAGTTTATTTAGTTCAATCTCAAACACATAATATTAATGGAAAAAAAAGAACAAATTTTAGAAGAATATCTACAATGTGATTCAATTTATAGTTTAAAATCATCCATGCATAGTAATACTATATTACCTATATAGTTTGTGGGTGTATACATACATAATAAAAATATAAATACATACATATACATGATAACCTCTAAAATCAGGATAGTGGTTACTTCTGAATATGAAGAGGTAGAAGGGGAATAGAGTTGTCTCCACTCACCTTATTTCTTAAGCTAGGTTCTTACCTTTTCTTACCATATGAATTCAATTGACATGAATTCCATTAGAAATTCTGCAGTAGAAAAACTCTCCTCCTTGCCAAAGAATTGAATGGTACAATTCTCATCATCTTTTTAGTCTAAGGAGGTCAGCCTTATGGCTATGGCAAGGATAGCAGAAGTATGTTCTTGAAGAGATTCGGATAAACTTCTCTCAGGTTTCCTCTGATGCTTCTGTGAACCACCTCTTTTGATCCAGCAACACCTGCCTGTTGCCAGTCAGCCAGATGAAGGCAGCTGAGGACAGAATTGCGTGCTCTCCCGCATCAGGACAGTGTATGGGCCTCGGGTTGGGATTGCTTCCTGGTGCGTTGGGAAGAAACGCCCTGATCAGGTTACTGCCTGTCACCCACTGTAACCCAGAGGAAGCTCTGGTCAACTGCCTGTCAGTGGTGGTTTGTGGTAAGAGCAGAGGGCAAACCCATCAAAGCTTGCCACCCTTGGAGTCTTTCAGAGCAGAACTAACACTTTTTTTCACTAACACGTTCTTCTGTCCCAGTGAGGTTGTTCTGGTCACCTCATTATTACCTGGTTAAATAAAGCACTTTCCTGAATATCATATTTTTTGGTTTTGGCTAACGTAGGAGTATTGAAAGATAAGCAGTACTTCTTAATTGGAGAACTACTAGACTGAACATTTGAAGATTCTGATACTTGTTTGCAAAATTTTGGTCAAACCAACTATGCCTTCTGTGCTTCTGTTTGTACCAAAAAATGAGCCAAATTGCCTCTGCATTCTTTCTGTCCCTAACTGATGTATACTGACGGTGCAAGTCCAAAGATGGTAACAGCAAGAAAACTCTCCTGAGAGAAAGGGCTCTAATAGTGAAGAATCACTTTATTTTCATGTTTTAGATGATACACCTCCTGAAGACGCCATTCCTCTGGTCTTTCCAGAATTAGACCAGCAGCTACAGGTAAGGATTTTTCTGCAGTCTTTACTCTTTCCTCCTTAGTTTCACAAAATACAGTGAGTGGAAAAGTGGCCTAATTGAGAAAGATTGACCTGGAGACAGAGTGGGGGACATTTCACGTCATCAAGGTTTGCATTTCTAGGGTTTCAAGGTCATGAAGCCCTCAGGTAATGCCCCTGTCTGTTTATGTGGCTATAGCATGAGAATAGCAAGAACTTAGGGGACTTCCCTGGTGGCACAGTGGTTAAGAATCCGCCTGCCAATGCAGGGGACACGGGTTCAAGCCCTGGTCTAGGAAGATCCCACATGCTGCGGAGCAGCCAAGCCTGTGTGTCACAACTACTGAGCCTGCACTCTAGAGCCCACGAGCCACAACTACTGAGCCCATGTGCCACAACTACTGAAGCCTGCACACCTAGAGCCCATGCTCCGCAACAAGAGAAGCCACCACAATGAGAAGCCTGCACACTGCAATGAAGAGTAGCCCCCGCTCACCACAACTAGAGAGAAAAGCCCTCATGCAGCAACGAAGACCCAATGCAGCCAATATTTAATTAATTAATTTTTAAAAAAAGAACTTAGGGTGTAAGCTCCTACTTTTAAGGAGTTTTGGAGCCTGGGGACAGGGCTGGTCCCTGCTCTCCTTGGCTATGGATGTTTCTGGGCTATTGTAGTTTTGGCCCATTTTGGATTAGCGATTTAGTGATAAACTACAAGGGACACTTGTCATGTGTGGCGAGACTTCAGAATAATCTTCCTTTCTCTACTCCACGCTCACCCTCTCCCCAGTTCTCTGACAATTTGTAGTAGAATGTAATTATTTTAAGTTAAGCTTTTCTGAATACTGTCTGGCTTGACCTATGAGAAAAATATTTTGTGTGTGTAGTCTATGGATGACCTATCAAAGATATCTAATTTTAATACACCAGAATTATTTGAAAGAAGATAATTTATGACCCTTTAATTTTCTTTAGGTGATATATGGTGATTCCAGAAAGATGGCTTTAGGAAGAGGCTCTGCTTAAAATACCTGGATACTGGCCTTGGGTCAAATGTTCACCTGAGTACTTCACTTTGCTGTCACATTTAGACCAGTCTAATAGGGGTTTTGAATCCTGTGCACAGATGTTTGCTTAGTCACCACTTTTTTCTCTAAATACTGATTCTGAAAGCCTTTAGGAGGGGTCTGCCACCTCCAGTTCCCAACTGATGTTTCTTCTTGTCTTACACTTGGTAGCATTTCCCATGTGTGGGTGTGCTTGGCGTCCTGAAGTCATTTGAGTTTGGGGCCCCTGGACCAGAACAGCCCTTGACAGAGGTGGGAAGAACCAAGAATGAGCCCTTATGCAACCCAAGATAGAATCCTTTTTTTTGGCTCCAGTTCTTGTCTCTGTGCCCAGTGCACTGAATTAAAACCTGGAAGCAACTAGGTTGGGTCTGAAGAGCTGGTGTTTCACTGCTGGGGTGGTCCTCTGAAGATCTATCCAACACAACTCAGGTGTGACCAGACCTCTTGGAGGAGCTCTTGTCTCATCTCTGCGCAGGCCTGGGCATCGTCACAGCCCTCCGACAGAAAGCCTGCCAACAGAGCAATATCAGTAATGTAGAGATTTCTGAAGACTGTTCAGGAGGTTATACTAATGACCTTGCAGCTGTCAAAAGACAGCTCTGTTCTCCTCTAAAATTTCCTCTGCAGCTATCAGCCATCGTATCTCCTTCCTCTCCCGTCCCCCATGCAGGGTCTTCAGCCCAGCTCTCTGCTTCCTGCTGTCTAACCATATCCCCCAACCTCTCTTCTTCTCACCATGGAGGACAACTCAGCTGTTCCTCTGCTTTTCCGTCTGGTGTGCTTACATGACGTACAACCTTCCTTGCTTGGGTTCTGTCCTGACTGATGGGCTGTATGTGTGCTGCTCATGGTGTAGTTGGGATTGCAAAATAATAACTATATTTTTTTCCCAGTCACAGTTTTCCCCCTTTATTTTACTGTCACCACAAAGCTATTTTATTATCTTAGGAGTCAGCTGAAAATAAGGAGTTAATGCGTTTTGCAAATAAAAGAGGGAAAGCATGTTTAGATTCATATTCCCCCACCACTATTATGGATCATTAATTCTACTTTCTTGTGCTGACAGTTTTTTTCCTTTGGGAACATTAATGGTCTTCCCTGGCTCATGGATCATTCTTCCCAGGATTCATGGCACCTCTGGCAATTATCCAGATAATTTTTCTATTAAAGCATCGCAAGATCCCTTTGAATTTTATAGCTTTAATTCCATTTGACATATATTAGAAATTAAGTCTACTTAATTATTTTAATCTAATGAGACTATTTCATCTTCATTGATCCTTAATGAATTAGTCAGTTGAGAAGCTGATTTCAGGCTCAGGGGTTATGATACCCCCAACTTCCCCACCCTAAAATATGGTATTGCTTTGCCTCTTCATGAACAGAGAGGACCTTCCCAGCACTATAACTAAAAGCATTTCAGTAAGGGCTTGTTTTTTTGGTTGAACGATATGATTGAGTTTGTTATAAACATTTACCAGTGGCCAAGCCATTTGGTTAAGGTTGCCTCTGTCTAGGGCAACTTAGACAGTTACCTTTATTCTACACTCCAGGGTGTGAGTAACTAAAATATAAGATGGAGGGGATTGAGAGGGGAAAGATAACACAGAAAGCTACATCTAAAAGCAGACTGTTGTTTCCATGCTTAGCATAAGCATATAAATTTAAGACATTCTGCAGCAGGAAGTCTCTATTGAAAGCAATGAAGATGCTTTATGTATGAAAGGAACAATCCATTCCATGGAGCAGGCTGTCTTTACAGTCAATCCAGTGTGCTTTTATCACATAATAATGACTCTTGGGATTTAACCAACCATCATAATCCTTTACAGAAAAATAAAAGTTAGGTTACAAAGGCATATGAAGTGCCTTGTGGTTGTTACTATTTGCTTGAGGATGAACTGACCCTTACTTATCTCTGCTAGAGCCTTAGAAATGTGCCCAGTGAAAAATAATTGATACCAGCGGATTATTGCTGGCCTTCCTCTCTGAATACCCTCAGATTTAAATCCTACCCATGCATATTGAGTACCTCTAGGCAAGGGGGGTTTCCCCACAAACGACCTCATTTGATCCCCGCAACAACTGTGTAAGCTAACTATTATGTCTCCACTTTAGGGATGAGAAATATGAGGTCAAAGTTTGGTCTACATAAATTTGCTAATTCAGACTAGATCTCTGATTCTGAATCTAGGTAGCCTTCATTTCTTTACAGCTTTGGTGGAACCTATGGCATGCTTAAATCATGTTGATAGGTGGAGGGTTTTTGGTTTCTGGCTTGTGAAGTTGCCATAATGTGGTTATAGAACAACCTAGTAAAATCTCTTCTGGCTTCCTGATATCCGTTACACGTTCTTTCATAGTTTATAAAATGCAGCTATAAAGTATCTGTTTGGTAGATACGCTATCACCACTTTGACCCCCCAAGATTTTTCGGTTGCTTTGCCAAGAATGTGGACATGTTTAAGCATGTAATTCGTAGGGCTTCTATTTTCACAGAAGCCAAAAAAAGCCTTGGGCAAGAATAGCAGTGACAAACATTTTTCTCGATGTCTCTATTAATGCAAAATGTTGGGCAAGAGACCTTGGGCTAAGGTAGGTGTTAAAATGAACATCTCTTTATAGGCCTCAGCCCAGGGGCAGGTGGTAGGTTGGTTCTATTTTGTGCGGATTCCTTTCCTGGAATTCGGCTTCTAAATTCTTCATGTCCATTAGGGGCAATGTTTGGGTAGAGCTAGTTTAGACCATACAGTCAAAAGAAAGGAGGTTCAATTCTATGTCCATTTGTAAGAATGAATGAAAAATCACTACTTTTCTTTAGGCCTCAGTTTCCTTCTATTTGAAGAAGAGGTAATGATTGACCTCCCTCCCTTTTCTGAAGGATGGCACAATCCTTTAATAGTCTCAAGGTCTGGGTCAGAACCAAATTTGTCTTAAAATTTAACCACATTGTAATGTTTTGGAGATTGTGGTTTGACCTATAGATGATCCAAAGCTAAGCTTTGTGGTCTTTGTTGCCTCGGAAAGAAGAATATGTTTTATTTGTAATCAGGTGGAGGACATGCTGATAACTAGATTGTAATAAATCTAATGGGAGTGACAGTGACTGGGGCATAGGCACTGGCATTAGGCTGGCATGAATTTGGACCTCAGCTCCACACCTACTAGTTTTGTGATTTGGGCATGTTATTTACTTTCTATAAACCTCACTTTTCTGACCTGCAGAGTGGACATAATATCTCACATCGTTGTGTGAATTAAATGTGATAATGAGCAAATCGAGCATGGTGCTTGGCAAAATAATTGCTCAATTAATGTCAATTTCCTTCCCTAGTGAAATTGTTTATTGAATGAAATATTTAAGCACTAGTATCTTTATACGTGTAAAATGAAATGAGAGAAACATCTCTTTGGATTCTTGGGTTAGGAACAGAGATGCTGATGCCCTCTTCTTTAAGCTAAGGTACTTGGAAAACAATACGACTATTTTTTCAAACCAAATTGAGCAATAGCTTCAATCCCTCCTAAAGTACTACCATCTAATCTGAGAAGACAGTAACAGGTGTCTCTGTGGTACACATTGAACTTGCTTTTTTCTCAGACAGAGTTTGGTAAGTCCAGAAACTGATGTCACCTCCACAAATAAACAATTTCGTAGCTTTGGTTGTGTACTATAGTATCTTGTTGTCCGAGCAGTCACTCCAGAAACTTCCTTTAGGTCTTGCATCAGTGTATCACTTGCTATCTGGGAAACAAAAATGGTAGAAAATGGAGGAGTCTTAGCATTCTAAGATTCTACTGCACTAGTCTTGAACATCCAGAGAAAACACTGAAAAAATGTCTGCCATTTTCTCTCTGAGGCACACGTTGAAAAGTATTTTACAGTCGTTTTTCTGGCTGCTGGGACCACACAGAAAACATATATAGATATCTT